CTCAAACGCTGCAGGATATCGATTTAACTTGAAAATAAGTCAAAATTGACAAAGGCGGCTTCACAAGTGACACCGATGCATTATCTGCCTGCCATTTTAGGGGCCCTGGGAAGATGCTCGCTGTATGTTTTTTCAGTGAATGTTATTAAGCCAGTCGCTAGCCGAAAGCTACATCTTGAGTTATCAAAGCTAATTTATCTGCTGGTAAGATGAAATTATAATACTATGTAAGAATATTTGTTTTCTTTTTCTTTATTTAAAAACCATACTTTTTTCTTGCTGATTATTACTAGATAAAAAACACTTAAAAAACAAAGCAATCTATATCACTTCCTTGGCAGTGTAGTTTTCATACTTTCAAGGCGAGGTTTTGACTGGGAAACTGAATTTAGACGTTTCAGGCTGCCTTGGGCTAAAAAGAATTTTAGCCTATTTCTGTCTAGCTTGTACTGTTAAATGTGAAAATAAGTTTCGTATAATCATGCCAACTAACATGAAGAGTGAAAATATATTGCCGCTCGAATGACGAAAACAGACGACGTAAATTTTCATTAAAAAGTTTACCAATTTGATTCTCTCAATAGGCACGTACATGCACTTTTCAGCTTTTGCTCTTTAAATAACACTTGAGGGAACATTTAGAAAGGTAACCAAAAAGTAATGGATTTGCATCGAAAATAAGTCATTTAATTGTAGCCTGATTGTAGCTATATGTGTTGTCAGCAGTATAATACGGAAAGGTCTCTGATAATGAATAGACAGTAGACAGTTAAATGGAACAAATATCAAAATATACAAGAAACTATAGGGTTTTAGAAGTTTGGTCTTACCGCAAAACCATAATAACAATTCCCGCTATTAACAAGACCTGGATTTATTAATTTTATACTTTCAAGTGGTAGTGCGGGCTATGAAAGTTGAAGTAGATTGTTTTGGCTTTGACGAGCAAAAGGTTCAGATCCTTTGTCGATGAAATTAAAAAAACGGGTTATCAAAGTTGGTTTTTAGCCTTTCTGTCAGAAAGAGAAAATACAAAACTGGATTCACTTTCACTTTGATTAATATTCGATATTTATAAACAACTCTTGCGGGAATTTCAAAGATCGCTATAAACATATACGTACGCTTACCATGATAGCCTGGCGGCGAACTTAAAAAATACGTGCAGTGTCAACTGACTCACTATGCACAATGGAAAGGAGTTTTTTTTGTTTTGTGTGTTTCGCCTTTTTCAGCATATGATGTCGCAAATGTAATTAAAGAAACAATTTTTTAGGTTTAGACAGTGTTTTGTTTGTAAAAGACAATTTAAACTCCTTAAGTGCTTTCCATACGACATTTAATATACCGCTTCGATTACGAAGCGACTGGAACACGGCTGTTTTACGCCTTCTCGAAATTTAAGACGAATAAGTCTCTATCTAAGAAAGACGATTTTACAAACGCAATCTCTGGAATTTTCCCTTGAATGGCTCTCTTTCAAAAAATCATTTTCCAGCTGCTAGGATTTTTTGAATTTTTTTTTTCAGGAAATTTCCATCCTCTCCATTCATTCACTTCAAGATCTTTCCAGAATTTTGTTCTGAAGGGACACGTCCCTTGTTTTGCTTGAAGTTATAATTGTATAAATTTGGGACATTGAAGCTTTTTGAACCTAAATAGTTTGGGACTGTACATGGAAACAAATCCTTTCAATGGCTGTGTTGTTTTTCTTTTCGCGAAAACGACATGTATCGCCCGCTCATTGCAGCTGGTTTGAAGTTAATTTTTGTCGCGCCTTCATTAAAAGCCTTCTTTCAAGCACACTTTTGCGGACGACCGAATGTTAATTTTTCCTTGAGGCTTAAGTTTAATGTTTCATTTAACGGAACATGAATCAATGCATCTCCGGTAAAATGATCACCAGGAGTAAACATGTAGGATGTGTCCACATACTAAAGCGCTTCAAGAGCTCTTTACGTCAGCTTTAGAAGAAAACATCGCCGCAGGAAGAAGCAAGTGCCAAAACCTCAATCTGAGTATGTAAACAGAGCAGATATGCGTTCTAGCCGGAGACATCTTTAGCAGTGCGTATATATAATGTAGACACTATCTAAGTTAAGAACTACTGTTATTATTGAAAAGCTTTCATTTCATTTTGTTCTGCGGCGCACAAGAGTCTCAAAAGACTAGACCACCGCAGGAAAATTATCAAGGTAAAACTATTTTTTAGTTTAAAAATTGTCAAACGATTTTTTTGGGTGAGATCATATAGGGCGCAGGACTTGATAAAAAATTGGAAGTAAAAACATAAAACTGGGCTGATCAGTCAAAAATAACGATCAACATGGAGTAGGAAGCGTTTCGTTGCCTATGCAGTAGTAAACCTAACCGGACTAAAACCAAAAAATTCATAAATAAAAATATCGGTTAAAATTCTCGTATCTTGACGCAGGAAAATAAAAACATTTAATAGGGAAGTTACTACCTAAGATGTTTCGATACGGTTTCTGGTAGAGCGTAACGGACATTTTTCAATCGCCATATCGAATTTTCTACATCCGCTATATATATCCGCTATGTCGACACGGTATTTTTCCTCCAAATCGTTTTGGTTAGATGTTTCACTAAGACAGAGGTTTTGTCCAAATCGATGTTAACGTGGCAACGACAAAAAAAACAAACAAACAAACAAACAAACAAACAAACACGGACGTCAGTAACGTAGGCTTTACTGGAAAACTAAGTCATTAAAAATCCGGTATCCGTAAAATAGTGGCCGTATAGTTCCAGTTTATGTCACAAAGAAGTCTTTATTCTTATTTCTTCATTTGCATGCAGAAATAAATGCGGCGTTGGTAAGTAATTCATAATTTGTAAAATCACTTTAAAGTTGTCCTCCTCTTTGGCATCAAGCAGTTTGTCATCATATTTTCACGCCGAAAAGGGTGTTAATGAAAAATGGAAAATACTATGAAGGCCCGTTCTGGTCAAAATCATAACAATAAAATTGCACCGCAAGTCAGTTATGGACATTATGGACATGTTGTGTATTTTTTTCATTACTAAACAATACTTTTTTCAGCGTGTTTTTAATTATTTTTAACAACAAGGGTTATTTTTGTTTTAATTATAGTAATACTTTTTTCATTCAGGCCATGAATTATTTTTTAGTGGTACTTCGAATTATTTTTCGCGGTATCGCCAATTTATTTTTTAGCCTACAATGCACTGCGGGCCTTGCATTTGAAGTGGACTGATTCGAGTTTTTTACTTCCTTGAGCGACCATTTTGAAAACTTTGCAAGTGGAGGAGTGCTTTCAAAGAGAATGCGAAGGCGAAACATTGTCAGGGAAAGAAACGAAAGAGGTTTTCATCTTTCTTACAAAATCTGTCAGGAGCTAGTAGTCTGTGCGTTCGTGATGAGGTTTTCTGGACCGAAGATTTAATAGAGAAGACTACGAAGCGACTTCACGACTCGTACACAATTCTAACCCTTATTGAACATGACATGTCGGCCCGATTGAACTGTTCTCTACCCAATCTTGTACCTCGAGTCTTCGTCTCGTACTACACATGCTGGGTTTCGGAACGAAGACGCAGAGAACGAGAGTGTCCCCTACACTGAGTTTCAGGAAGAAGCTTCCGATTCTAATCCAGACGGGCGAGCAACAGAAGCAGAGCCAGATGGACTCGAGGGAGAAGACCTTCGTTGAGTGCTGTGTTAGAGTAGACCTCACTAACTGACAAATTCGATTGAATTATGTAATATTTATGTTATGGCATTACTGGCTATATATCTCAGGTATCCGACGTTGGACAGACTCGTTCATCTCCGAACATTAAAAACATAATGTTAAAAATCAGGAACTACTATACTGCCATCGTAAAGGCACTCGAGCAAGTTCCCTATGTTAGTTAGTTAGTGAGGTCTACTCTGACTAGCATTCTGCGCAGATCTTCTACCTCGTATCCATTTGGCTCTTCTAGTTCTTATGCCCGCCCGTCAGGATTAGATCCTGAAGTTCAGGGTAAGGGGCCCTCTCATTCACAGCATCTTCGTTCCGAAAGCCAGCATGTGTAGTACGAAGACTCGAGGTATAACATTGGGCAGACATGCATGTCATGTTCAATAAGGGTTAGAATTGTGTACGAGTCTTGAGTCGCTTCGTAGTCTCCTCTATTAACTCTTCGGTCCAGACTCATCACGAACGCACAGACTACTGGCTCCTGACTGATTTTTTAAGAAAGATGAAAACCCCTTTTGTTTCTTTCCCTGACAATTTTTCGCCTTGGCATTCTCTTTGAAAGCACTCCTCCACTTCAAAGTTTTCAAAATGGTTGCCCAAGGAAGTCAAAGACTCGAACCAGTCCGCTTTAACTGCAAGGCCCGCAAAGCATTGTAGGCCCAAAAATAAATTCGCGATACAGCGAAAAATAATTATCAGCACGATGAAAAAGTAATTCTCAATACTTGTGTTAAAAATAATTCGCAGTACCACTAAAAAATTATTTGTGGTACGCATGAAAAAATTTTTCATACAACAACATAAAAATAGTAAACAGCCTTAATAAAAAATAATTCATGCAGCTAGAAAAAATTAGCAACACACTAAAAAGAATCCTAAGTAGTGATGACAAAAATACACAACGGGTCCATAATTAATAAATGCTGCACTGGCCAAAAAAGTCACTTGTGATGCCATTTTATTATATTAATTTTGACCAGAACGGGCCTCCATACAACTTTGACTTGCCGACAGATGGTAACTTTATTTGGTTGTTTTAATATTTCAATGTTTTTAGTAACTCATTTTGTTTTCGTGTCACTATCAATCCATCAGCCATGTAAATTTGGTTACAGCGTACAGGAATTGTTCTCAGCAACATACAATACAGCCGGGTATATCGCTAAACACTTTATTATTTCCGTTTTTTTTTTTCAGAGGTTTAAACTCAGAATGACCGAGAACAGTACAACAGTGTTTACTACTATTTCTGATACTGTGGATAACGACACAGAATTTGATGAATATGCCGGGATATTCGACCCTGAGTATCACATCCCACCACTAATATGTGCTGTTATTATCATTGGATTAAACGCATGGGCAATTTCATTGGTGAAAACATTTTCCAACCTACAAACAAACATGAACCTCCTCCTTAGTAGCCTGGCCTTTTCCGATCTCCTCACCGGGTTACTCAGCATACCATCACACGTAGCTTGTGACATCATAAGGAAGACTCCAGTTTGCGTTGCGTCCCAACTGATGATGAGATTCACATCGGTGTCTACAATCTCCCACTTGCTTGCCATCACCATAGACCGCCACATCGGTGTAAAGCACTCGCTGCGCTATAACGTAGTTGTGACAAAACGGAGAGTTTTCATCACTTCAGCTTTCATATGGTGTTCCTCAATTTTCACCTCCCTTATTCAGCTCGCTTGGATAGACTACAAAAGAGAGGATGTCGATGAGGAGGATGATGACATCATCAAACATGAAATCCGTTATGACGTCACTTGGCTGATATTATACTTCTTGCTGCCATTTGTGATCATGACAGTTGTTTATGCCGACATTTTCATGGCAATTTTGCGTCAATATCGTCACATAAAGCGTTACAACAATCCCGGATGGCTGGAGACTAAGAGACGAACTCACAGTGAATGGAGAGCAGTAATCATATTTTCTATAATGTTGCTTGTGTTTGTGATTTGCTGGTTGCCTTTCTTTGCTCTTCGCCTTCACAATAACCTTGGTTCCAACGTTTTTGAAATTTCCCCCATACTTGTATATCTTTTTATTTATCTGAGGTTTTTTACCTCCATATTTAATCCATGTGCTTTTATTCTTGCTAAACGAGACTTTCGTCAAGCGATCAGTGCTTCACGAAGGATCCTTTTTACACGACTGAGATCAAATTCCCTGCACTCATCTGTAAAGACAACTACTGTTTAACACGACTTAAGCCCTGAATACTAGCATGCACATTCCTCACACCCTTTCCTCACTTCTCCTTTGGTGCCAAGAAGGAACAATGGTACAAACAGGGAATCTTTGGGCGTTGGCCAGGATAAGTGAATTTCACTAAATCTATTCTTAGAGGTTGTAATTAAAAGGAAGTCTAATTCTTGAGACGTCCACACATGTTAATCGACTATTTTACGTCATCAAGTTCACTCGCGACTGTCTCATAGCAAACGGTGCAGAATATTGTAACGGTCACTGTTGAATTCTCCCCTAAAAAAAAGGTTTCGGACTTCTCGCTTCGAAAACCATCTTCCGAACTTTCAAGCGTTTAATTGGTCTAAAATAACTTTGGTGAAATTCACATGTCCCAAGAGCCAGACTGGGCGTTTCCTCTGTTCCATTATCCTCTCTTACTGGTGCTGATAACAAATCTCGTTAATACGGACAATGAAGGGGCCACAAAAAGTGTCTGTATTATTAGACAGCTCTAGACTCTAAGACGAGAACGACTACGAGTACGAAATTTTCTCAATACTAAGTAGTGCGCACGCGTGAACCAGCGTCATTTTGGTGAGAAAACGTGTTAGCCGTCGTCACTCTACTACGAGTCTTAGAGAGAATGTCGAAGTGGCGGGAACAAGATGTCATGTGTTAGAAGTTTTATCATTTTTTGATCTTGAGGAGGCGTAACCTCCTTCACTAAAGATAACAGTTTTAACTTTTCTAGTGAAAAATGGTAAAATGAAGCTTTCCGGGGTCTCTATATTTTGAGAATACGCGAAAAACCTTTCAGTCAAATCTCGTACTCGTGGTCGCTCTCGTCCTCGAATCTAAAGGTCTCTATTGAATTCAACAGTAGAAAATACTAAGGGAATAAACGAGGATATCGTCGAGTTAAACATCTCTAACCTTCACAAAGCCCTTTTTCTGCGGACTAAATCCACGAAAACACTCAAAAATTGCTTATCTATGTATTTCTTAATCAAAACCGTCCTCTGCATAACTCTAATAAGGAAGCCAAAATAGTCTAGCTAAAATTGGCGACTACAAATCATCCTATCAGGTGTATACTATAGCGTTGGGAATATCGAAATGCTCTCAACTGAAAGGAAAGTTGTATTACAGGAAAATGTTGATAATGAAGTGTCCGCATTAGCGAGGTTGATTTTCTATGAGAATCTGTTGATTGGACAAGAAACTAGTGTCCATTGTCGGCATTAATGGGTATCCGTATTAAGCGGGTTGAATTGAGAGAAAATGTAAGGGTTACCCCAGGAAACAAAGAGAAGTGTCCGTAATAACGAAGTGTCCGTTTTAGGGGGGTGTCCGAAAAGTGGGGTTCGACAGCTATAATTTCCTTTTTTCTCATTATAATAAACAGTGATATTTTGGGGGAAACTAGTTTCTTATCAATCTTAGGGTTTTAAGGCTGATGAACCTTTAGAGTTCTTGGCATGTGTGTCTTGCAATACCGACTCAAATTGTGCGGCCATCAGAGGCCAAACCCTATTTATAATAAGTTCCCCCAGAGCGAGTGCATCCTCAGTACCCCTGAGTTACGTCACAATGCATTATTCGCCATGCAGTTGTCACTTATGAACTGCTGTGACGTCAACGCCATGTGAAAAGATCGTTTCTTGCCAAGAGTGATAATTTCGGATAAAGTTTTTAAAATGTAGAACGTTTTTCGTTTGATACCCCTTTTAAAATTTCTTCTGTAGTCTCAAATACGGCCTCTATTATGGGAGAATATTGTTAAGTACTGGTCTTATATGATGCTCATAAGTCATTGTAAGAACATTATTGTAGACTTTGACGCCTACCATTTGACTTTTGATTTGGTTTGGGTAAATTTTCTTTCCCAAACCTCTGGTGATAGAATTTTTTCCTGACATAAAACAGAGTAAGAATTTTTTTTCAATGTAGGAATTTTGTTTTCGTCAGGTATTTCCTTTCAAGAATTTTTTTTTGCTCGAATCATTCTGCAGAATTTTTTTTTTCTGAAATCACCCATACCCCCCCCCCCAAGCCATTGACTAAGTATTTATTCTATCTGCCCAGGCTAATTCGTGCCTATCTAAGTAGAGCACTATAATTAAAGTCCAAGCTCCTTACTGCGTTATTCGTAATGATGAGTAAAGGATGATCGCTATTCCTAAATTGAATTTTACCTTAAATTAGAATTTGACCGGCATTGCGCATGTCTTTCAGAAACGAAAAATAAAAAGGAAAAAAGTGTGATGAGTTCTGAGAGGTTTCTTTACTAATTAGCTTTAATGTGACCACAGACCACAGTACTCTTTGACATCTCTTTTACTACTTGGAGTAAATAAGCCTTTTTGGTTACAGTATTAGCCTTACTTGTATCCTTACGCCTCGCCCACACGTACCTATTCGAATTTTTTTTGGAAACGGATATTTTTTCTCATTTTCCGAAAAATTTGTGTCTATACACTGTATTCGAATCGTTTTCGCACGTCCACTCCTCGAAAACGCTGATGAAACAATGGAAATATGATAGCATCCCTTACAGGCTACGCGCCGTATGATAAAACGGTAAGCCAGTGTTTTAAAAAAGCTCCAGATTTTGGGAGAAAAAATTAGAAAACCTGCTTTTTTGGTACCTGAAAACGCCGTTTAAGTGTAGTTGGAAGGCAAATGGAGGAAAAACATCTTCGTTTTTAAAACTTTCTGGATACGTGTGGACCGGGCCCAGTAGTATAACCGTTCGTCACTGAGTTCTCGGAATAAGCTCAGCGTGCTTTGGCGTGCTGCAAATTCAGTACCACGATGCAAAGCGAGCGGGAGGTGGCAGAATGGCAATGGCAATGATCATGGGATTCCGATTGCGAATCGAGGGGGACTTATTTTTTTGCAAATCAAGGCCTGATACCGAGGTGTTAGTATAGTTACCCGGTATAAGTGATGTTTTTGCGTTAGAGCAAGCAACAACACACAACATAGTTTATATCCACTGTCAGCTTTCAAAACAGCAATTGCTTTATTCGTTCCAGAATGCTAATGGAAAATGACTTGTATTTGCAAACTGAAAGGAGTGCATTATTAACAAATTAATTCTACCAGATCAAAGAATATAAGGAGACTAACAGTAACTAATAAAATTTGCTAGGAAAGTACTCTGTTGGACTTACTTTATTTATCACAAGTACGTTATTTTATTTATTTATTTATTTATTTATTATTTATGCTGTTTTAAAAGCCGTTACATGACATGTGCGGCTTAATTAAGATTCAGCTGACGCAGATTAATGTCGCGGTCAACTTACGTTGTATTTCATTCACTAAAAAGTTCTCTTTCCTATGTAGAGCACAATTCAGTAGGGATAAAAATGAGTATGAGCCATAAAAAACTGGTTTCTTTTTTACATAATTACTTCTTACCTATTCTGGCCATTCTTTGTAAAAGTGCGACTAATGGATATGTTCTAGTTATTTAAATTTTCTATTAAACGTGAAAGTGGTCAGCAATTTGTTGCTCCTCATATTTTAAATGTCTAATTAACAAAACAAGAAGTTGATTTCATTGGCAGTTGGAAATAGCATACACTTCTCGCTCCGGAAGAATTGAAAATGCGTCAAAACTGAAACTAATGGAAAATACATTTGTTGCTAGGTCATTAATACCTGATTCCGATTCAACATCGCCTCACATTGAAAAAAATCTTTTTGTGTATGAATAGGAAAGCCATCTTCTATTGACAGCAAACGGCTGTACATTCTTATAAGCCATAACGCTTCATTAATGTTTTGAATCCAAGTTCTACCAGGCTTCTGGTGTATTCAGCATTGAAAACGGAGTGAGTTTGAGTTTTTTTCTTCTTTGAGTTTAGTTTCTTTTCATGTTTGTTATAAGTAGACTAAATGCCTTGATTTGATTTGATTTTTTTGTTTACTTTCGGGTCGTCATTCTCCATTTTCTTTGTTTTTTGAAGACGGGAAGTTAATGCAACTTAGACCGCTCCCCGACATTTGAAAGATTACTTCGTCATGGCGCATATCAGCTCTAAAAATAACAGGTCCGAAGGTAAGCCTATCTAGGTAATCCATAAAATATTACGGCTAATACAGTAGCTTTGAAATGGAATAAAAAGCAATAGATGTATAGATTAAAAATGAAATCTGAAGAACATATCATTTTATACTTTTAGAACTCCGACGATTAGTCCAATCAGCTAAAAGATTAGATTGCACCTCTGATATAAAGGCTATATTTTGTAGAGGAGGAGTGTTACAGAATTGATAAAAATTGAAAAATTTTGTTAAGAAAAGTAAACAGCACAGACCGTAGAGATGAATAATTCTTTGACCAGTGTATTTTTTATTCTATCATCAAAGCTGCCGAACAGTATGAATTTTACGAAGGCTTTTTTGATCCGAAAGCAGATGTCCTTCCGATCTTCCTGGCTGTGTTGATCGTATTCGTCAACGGATTGGTTCTGGTGCTTATGGCACGACAGAAACACCTTCGATCGATCACCAATTTGTTGCTTTGCAGCCTGGCAGTTTCTGACCTCTTAACAGGCCTGGTTTCTGTGCCTCTATTTATCACGTGTAACATCGTCCGCCAATCAGTGGTTTGCATCATTCAAGATCAGATGTCTCGTTTTATTTCGTCGTCGATCGTATGTCACCTGCTGTCTGTTACGACTGACAGGTAAAATTAAAATTTCTGTAAAATAATCATTTGTCTTCCAAAAATGGCGAAAAAAATGAGGACACTTGAAAACTTAAGATGTTATCCTTGTCTTAAGAAATTATAAAAAAAAAAAAACAGCTAATAACAATAATAAACAAACAGCTAGTACCATTCAGGTCCCGTCAACAACGGAACACTTACGGAGAGAAGGAGAGAGAAGGGTGGGGGAGGGGGGAGTGTAAAATGAACGCACCGTTAGCCTCAGGTTTGCTAGTCAGATAACCATTTCGAACTGAAGTAAAATAAGGACTCTTTACCTTTTACCTTTTTTGCTACCGGTTGTGTTACTGAAGAGGATTCATTATAGGATTTCATCCATAGGCGTAAACGTTACAACAAATAGCAACTTGCAATTGTATAAGTACTACTGAAGAATTTAATTTGGAATTATGGTAACCGACTAGGATTTTATCAGTCTGCAGGCCCACCTAACGTTTAAGTAGTTAGTTTGCGAATTCCACCTATCTTACTTCTTTCAGATATATGGCCATAATATATCCTCTCCATTACACAACTTTTGTTACACGACCCAGATGCATCCTGGTTATCCTGCTCATTTGGCTGTTGTCGGCGGTTACTGCTTTAGTACAGCTTGTTTGGCTCGACCCATTCCACCACAATCTGGATGAAGAACCAACTGACTACGTCATGAGAGCCGAACTTATTTACGACATTGTGTTCCTCGTGTTGTTTTTTGGACTTCCATTTATCTTCATGAGCTTTACATACATTTGTATTTTCGCTGAAATCATTAGACAGGGCCAAAACATTCAGAAACAATGCGTGCCGTGTTTGAATAACAAGCGGAAACAAAGACGTCATGAAAGAAAAGCGGTCTTAATTTTTGCCGCCATGTTGTGTGTGTACATAATCTGTTGGCTTCCTTATTTTGCACTTCGGAGGATAGATTATTCAGAAATTCCCTTATCCTTGGCATATGTAATATATTGGTTTAGGTTCCTTGCATCGCTGCTGAATCCCTGTATGTATATTCTGGGAAAACAAGACTTTCGTAAATCTCTTTTTTTTGTAAAGGTAACCCGCTAGTGAATAGTCAAACCTCCAGTTCAAAGCCAACAGTTCCAAGGAGGTCCATGGCAACTTCTCAAGGAGAAAATTACTTGATAGCTATGCAACCTTTATCAGGTGTCATGATCTAGAACAGGAACTTTGTCCTATAAATGTCAAGCTTACAAATTTATGGGGCGAGAGTTAGGTTACTTTGGGATGCCATGCAAGGACTTTATGATGACTTTCCTATTGAAATCATCATCAGTCGATTGAAGAGCAGTCGACTGTAAGCTATCTCCAGCTGACTCGGTTTATTTGGGCAGTGTTCACGATGCCATCTTCGGAGAAATTCGGTCTTGTTTGGGTCGATCCTAGACTTGCTTGGAAATCTACATCCTGCCGTGGGGTTCCCTCCCGTGGGAGGGCTCATACAACGCGTACATATTGACAGGTTCAGCCTTCTACATGCGAAAAATGGGGCTAGGAACTTGAGCTATCGTGAGACGACCATCGATAGCAGAGGGTTAGTGCCAGTGAGATAGTAGATTTTCAGGCCTCGCAGAAGGAGGGACTGGGGGCCCACTTTTGAAATAAATAAAATTTAGTACAGTGGAACCTCGATATAACAAAGGGCCAAGGGACTGGCAAAATATATTCGTTATAACGAGGTTCGATTCGTTAGCTTATATCGAGGTCCTTTTTAATATTGCCATATATTTTACTATTCCTCAAAGAATAGTTCCAATTAGACCGAGGACTTCGTTATAAATTAGAGGTTCCACTGTGACTGTAATATACATTTTCATAGACAGTATTTTTGTTGGAACAAGAATCTTCCAGCATCTAAATTTATCATTGGTCCGTTTCGAGTTCTAGATCTGATGCGTACTAGTACAGTCAACTCTCTCTAAGACGGACACCTTTGGGACCGGCACCAAGTGTCCATCTTAGAGAGGTGTCTGTCTTATGGAGAGTCAAATAAAGGGAATAAAGAAAGGCAAGGACCAACTCTAGGTGTCCGTTTTACAGCGGTGTCCGTGTTATAGAGGTGTCCGTTAAGAGAGAGTCGACTGTAAGCCTCAAAACGCCTTGCACTTAGTCCTAGACTTCTACGTTTTAATTCAAACCAGCAAGGCTATGTGGCATATGCAACGGAATGGAATCTTTTTTCATGAAGGTTCTCTATTAAATCTGAAGACTACTCCACGGAACTACGGATTCTTAAAACGAATTATACCGGCTGATGATCTGGTATCTGACGCATTTCGATGACATTATGAAAATGAAGGCGTTACAGGAACCTAATCTCATGATCCTTGATCTGCAAACTTCTATCGGTAAATCCTGCATGCTGGTGCAATCTGGCTCAGCAGGAGAAAGGTACTCTTCAGCTGCTTGAAATTTATAAACATAACTCCGCCCAACAATGATCTAAGAAAGGTTCAGTAACCTCACAGTTGTAAACAGCCACAAGAGAACAGCCAAATTTATCAATATCATTACTAATATATAGATTTAGCCAGGGCTAAAAGCGAGGCTCCCATGCATTAATAAATTTATAATTTAAATCAAACAATAAACTTGTATTCCACAATTCAGTTAACTTTAGAGCACATTCATGTGACTTTTCACGGAAAGGCTTAGTGATTTTAGACAAAAATAATTTGCAAACAGCCCCAGAGTGAACCAAATCTTACATCGAGTTGATGGCCTCATATGTACACCCAAAAACTGGCAATCGTCTTTGATCACATTTTTTAAGAGCCATAATGACTCTTGATCACCGTAGGTTAATTAGGCCTGGAAAAAAGTTCCGGCCGAATTTTTTGCGTTCGACAAGTTTACTTTACAAAATATTGTCAACAAATCTGGCTTCGTGTAAACCAACCTTATATATAATTTATACATCACATCTGAGGTGAAACAGTACTATGAGGTACTGTTTTTATCATACAGACCTCGGACAACAGAATGCAGTATTTGACAGTTTTGCAATACAAATTGCTATCATTCAATATTCAGGACGATCAAAGCACGCGTGGGCTTTAGCTAAACCGTTAAAAAAATTTCCAAAATCACCTATACGGCCAGCCGGTTCTGACTTTTGCAGTGCTAGTTGTGGCGAGTGTTTGAATGAACATTAACACAGTTAAGCTCCAATATACTAAAGAATTTATTATGTTTATTTTTTATTTTAAAATGGTTTAACGCGCGGCACTTTGAGTACTCTGGGAAGCGTTGTTCACTGAACGACTGAAAACAATCGGCACAGCGATTAAAATTACAAGAGAGACTACTAATAACCAACAAAAGTAATAAAATTCGGTGAAACATATACAGAGACGACAATTTTCATTCAGGAAGACAAGTATTAAGGTGTCTCTAAAAATCCTGAGTCTTCGAGCTTAAAGCTGCAGTTTTTGTTTTAAGCCGGCTTCCCGGTGTTTGCTTTTTTCAAAGACGAACTCGAGGCAAGAAAATCGCTCAAAGCTTCTTTTACAGCCTGAGTTATAACTAAAAATTCTTTGGAACGTGTTCTTTCTATTTGCGGTGAGAAAAAAGATCTGTAAGCTTATATAAACCTGATACTCGGTCAGATCATTGTCTCAAATCTTACAAACGTGCGTAAACAAAATAGCCGCATAAACTACGCTCGACTTCATTAAATTAAAAATAAAAAACAAACAACAAATACAATAATTACTTGGGCTTACCACTCGAGATGCAGCTTCTCAAAGGTATCAAGTAAGGCCAGTATCGCTTCAGACTTTGAAACCCTCTTACGCATTAAGCAAGATGGAAACGAAAACGATGCCATCCGAAATCGGATTTCCAACTTTGACAAGTGAAGTATTTCTCAACCAAAAACCCAATAAACAAACTAGCCATGGATAAAAGAAGACTTCCGATAGCAGCTGAATTTCATTTTGTACATCTAGTGGAAAAGGACAGTTAAAAAAATCACAAGTTGACACAAAACTCTGTCAGGTTCAGCTGTCAAAGTAAACAAGACTCAAGATGCTGCCTAAATTTTCGGCATGAACTCACCTGTCAAATTTTGACCAATCAGAGCATAAAAATTGGACGTAGAACGTGACCAACGCGTGAACATGGTGAGAAAAGTCAAAAGCAACTGTCTTCCCTGCCTGTAGCAGCTGACTGCATTTTCGCTTCCGAGATCAGTTTGAAATCAAAATTTTAATTGTGCGCCACATAAACACAACATATTTCATACGAATTTTAAAAAAAAAAAATAAACTTGAGCCTGCGACCATTTGAAAACTAGTACCTTGTCAGCGGATAACTTCAAAACAATACGTGACCTCGATGGGTCGAAACCTGAGCCCGCGATTCGCTCAAGTGATACCGGTCAGCGGATACCTTGTTTTGACAGCTGTCAATTGATCACAACATTGATGTCCAATATGTGTATCAGTTTTCCTGTGCTCCCAAACTAGCTAAAAAGTATGATTGAACATTGTTCGCGATCTAGTAAAACGATTAACTGGTCAGCGGACAGCTTCCAAATAAATCACGTCACCTCGATGAGTTGACACATGAGCCCGCGATATGGTCATGGGATACTGGTCAGTGGCTATCCTGTTTTGACAGCTGTCAATTGACCATATTGTGAGTGTCATATAAAAGATTAGGACTTGCCAAGGCACGCCTGAGACACCGCTCCCTTCCTTTTGATAGTCTCCCCTACCCGTACAATCTGTAGACGCGTACGTACGCTCGGTCAGTCACGTGACAACCAAGCGAAAAGAGGTTGACCATATTCCATGAGTATGGGGCTCTGTCCCACGCGCGCTTCGCGCTTAAGTAGTTAGTTTGATAAATCTTCACCTTCTCTTAATGCGTAGGCTGGCAACCAAGATGGGAAGCCATTTTAAATGACATCACTGGTCCCCAACAGTGCAATATATTCCATAATGTTTATGTCATCATACATTCTTTGCAATACGAAGCTACAACATTACAAAATCTCAAGACTGCTCCCCAAACCCACCCTACCCTTGTACCACAGTGAGGGTATATATTTGCTCGTCCGAGGTATAATCATCTTAAATGTTTCGTAGCTATTATCGACTCCAGTACCTCACTACATACTGTTTTCCTTTCAAGCTTATCAGTTTAAATCAGTTAAGTGGTCTTCTATTTTCATAATGAAGAAAGAAAAGTAATCACAGTATGTATCGGACAAAGCTGTTGCGGCTTTCCTTTATAAAAATAATAGAGACGGTTAGAAAAGTAAGGATCGCCAGAGAGGAAAAGGAATGGAAGACAAAGTCAATAAATCAGTTTCGGCTGGAACCTGACGAGAGGTTTTTCGGCATTTTTGACAGGTTTAATTTTACAGATGTCTTAATTGTTGAATGCATGCTATTTGGTAGATTAATATGAAGTTATTTTTCCTTCGTTTAATGGCCTAAATTCTCACAAAAAAATGCTCATTATTTATTTTTCTCTATATAAGCCTGTATAAAACAAATTGCGCGATGCTAACATACTGATAATTTCAATGGTGATGGTGAAAGGGGTAAAGTTAGCATATTATACAGCATTTCCTGGCAGCATATCTGTAAGGTTTTGGCATTAAAAATAAATTGCTTCACATTATATGGGAAGTACACCCGATCCACACTAATGGATCCATTGGGAAGATTACATTTCCAGTCATAACAATAAAGATAGAGATAAAATGTCAAACTACTTTTCTCATCAAAACAACAGAATGGTAATTTCGCTTTATCTGCTTGGACCATGCATGTGTTGATGCATTCACTGTTGTTAGACGAAATTTTCGAAAGCATCAATAATCTTTGAATATAGCTCAAAGAGAAATTATGTTCACAGGCAAAGCTCTGAGTACTAGGCCGAAAGAGTGAACAATTTGACAGACTGATTACTTCACGAAAGGATAAGAAGAGCAACCTTTTTGAAGACATATAGGTATGTAACGCCCCAAAGGATATGGTTTTTGCGCCGTTTCGTTTGATCTGAAATCGGTTATAGACTGTGCTCATTTTAGT